TAACATTTAACTTCCAGGGTTGTTGTGAGGATCAAATGAGATAATATGTGTGAAGCACTTCGCAAACCTCATAGCCCTATGTAAATTATTATATTATTATTATTATTATATTATAGTATAATACTATACTACTATGCTATATTATACTGTATATTAATCTAATATCAAAAAATGTCTAAAGGGAGCTTTGCTACTTAGAAAAGTAAATTTCAGTTGTCTGGCAAAGTCTTATGCAAAATTCCTCAACAGCAGGATGTATCATGTAGGTATATAGAACAGCAATGTTTTTAGAGGCCTGGCCTCATGAATGAGTTTTGTGTTTCTCTTATGTTTAAGAAAAATTGTGTTTAGGATTCTATCTTAGGATATTATTATTATTATTATATTATATTATTATTATATTATAGTATATATATAGCATATATATATAGTATAGTATATATTATTAGGATATTATTATTATTATATTATAGTATAATATTATACTACTATGCTATATTATACTGTATATTAGAGGACTCACTTGCTACCTCAAAGAATAAGAAGGAATGAATCTTTCGTTGCTCTATTAGGGGTAGTCTCTTCACCAAGGAATACACTCCTTAACCATAAAAGTGAATCAGGGACATAAAAGTCATTTCAGGCTACACACGCTGGTCCTCCCTTGAACGCAAACTGGATTTTGTTTTGTCCTCCTGGCCTTGGGGAACCCACAATGGATGACGTTTACTGCTTATTTACTTTGCATGCCAGAGTTCCGTGGTAGCATTCCAACCATATTGGGAGAGGCCCTTCCAAGCTCGCAAGCAGCAAAAGAGAGAATGGAGGAAACAGTAAACCTCTTAATAGAAGTTTGATGGTTGGAAGTGTGATCAATATTCTGATAACCCATTTGGTGATGGCCGGGATAATAGATCATGAATTTAGAGCTTGATGGGGCTTCTGAGGTCAGCTAGTTCAGCTCTCTGTCATTTTACAGATGAGGAAATTGAAACGCAGAGAAGGGAGGAGGTTTTTCCAAGATTGCACAGTGACAGAGTAGGAATTTTAAACAAGACTCTCTGACTGTAAATTCAGCAGTCTTTCCACTATACCCCAAGGGAGTCACCATATTGGTTAGGAAATCCTTCAAGGAAAAATGAGTTATCATTGCAGAGAATCAGTCACTGAGATGGTGTCTGGGCTTTGTTTTTTATGACAATAATAACAGCTCAGTTAGCTAACCCTGGATTGTTGATAAAGCCCCCTTTTTCCCCCTGCCATCCTCAGGGCCATGCACAGCTTGATGCACATGTCTATAGTATCCACTCACTGGATGCTTATTGTATAGTTTCCAGAGCAAGCTTGACTGAACAAGAACGTGCAGATAATCAGAAAACAGCAGTGGGAAGGGAAGAGAGGAAAATTTTTCCTTCCATATACTGAAGGGTAAGAAACTATTGATAAACAGGTAGGATCTAAACAGAATGTTCTACTTCCAATCACTGGGTACACTTAATGTAAAGTGAGTATTTCTGTGCTTAATAGGGAATTTTTAAACAAAATGAAATCAATTATAGTATGCTAATAAAAGGGATCATAGATAAATATAGATGTAGAAACAGGGCTGGAACTGATCTTAGAAATAATTGGGTCTAACCCTCTCATTCTCTAGATGCAGAAACAGATGCCTAGAGGTTATATAACTTACCTATGGCAGAGGATCTTAACCTGAGGCCTATGAATTTGTTCTTTAAAATGTTTGGACATTATTTCAACATAATGGGTTTCCTTTGTAATTTTATGTATTTTTTTACTTTATGCTTTTAAAATATTATTCTGAGAAGGGATCCACAGGTTTTAGCAGACTGCCCAAGAGGTCCAGAACACACAAAAAAATTACCAATCCTTGCCCCATGGTCAAATTCTCCTCTGATTTGGCATTTAAAGTCTTCCACAATCTGGTAGCAATCTAACTTCCAGACTTACACATTTTTCTCCTGCATGCACTCTAAAGGTCCAGACAAGTTATACTTTCCTCACCTACTTCCCCAACCACATCTTCTGAAAAAATCATAAATACCTTTTGTTTGTATATGCTTTTATAGGGTGTTAAATAAAGCTTAAAACTGCTCTAAGACACTTGGAATATGATAATGCTTGTAACGCTCGTGGTACAGTATCTGGTACATAGTAGATGCTATTTAAATGCTTATTCCCTCCCTCCTTCACCTACCCTGTTAGAAGGTAGGATCCCTGAGGTCAGGGACTGATTCATTTTTATACTGTTGTCCCCAGGGTCTAGACAGTGCCTGATAAAAGTGGCCCTTAATAAATGATTCTGATTGGTTGATTATCCAAAATCACCCAGGATTCAAACCCAGATCCTTTGACTCTTTAATTCCTGATCCAGCATTCTCTCTTCTATATCTTTATGTATTTTAGCCACAATGGAAATCATCCAGGGGTCCCATCCCTTCAGATTTTTGCATTTGTTAGAGGACACACTCTTACTTTACTTGAGAATAGAAAGCAGTGACTTCTGAACATACAAAAAAGGTTGACTCCACCAGCCTCTTTGGAAGAAGTTTGTTGTTGAGCCGTTTCAGTCATGTCTGACTTTTTGTGACCCCATTTGAGTTTTCCTGGCAAAGTTACTAGAGTGGTTTGCTGTTTCCTTCTCCAGCTCATTTTACAGATGAGGAAACTGAGGCAAACACAGGTAAGTGACTTGCCCAGATTCACACAGCTAATACGTGTCTAAGGCCAGATTTGAACTCAGGAAGATGAGTCTTCCTGATTCCAAGCCCAGTGCTCTATCTTCTGTGCTACCTACCTGCTCAATTATGGAACTGCTGAGACATCAAGAGAAACAGAAACCAGGCTCTTGATCCCAGTCCAAAGTCCTAATTAGAGTTTTCTGTCACATTTCATGAGCACACATGTAAAGTCTAGATGATAGCTGGTGTGGCATCTGCACATTAAGAGAACTGGACTTGGTTGGAGTCAGAAAAGATGTGAGTGGAAATCCTACCACTGATATTTATTCATTGTGAGACACTGGGCAAGTGACAGAACCTCTCTGAGAACTCCATTTCCTCATCTGTAAAGTGATGAATAAATAATAACCTTGCACTACTTGCCACATAGGGCTTCTGTGTGAATCAAATGAGATAATCTATGTAAAAACCTTTTTGTGGAACTTAAGGTGCTATATAAATGCCAGTTATTATTATTAAAAATGGCAATGGTGACTACTGCACCCCTGGCTGAAACACAGCACAGAAAGCCAAGAAAGTCTTTCACTTCTAACTGGTTAAATATTTTTCTACTGTGAAAGTGATATGTCTGGAAATAGTGTAGAAAAACAACTTTATATTTCCATAACAGCTGGTTTCACAGAATTTTGTCTTAATTTCCTCTCTGACTCACATCACCTGGCCCACACCAAGATGTGTTATCTTTCCCTAGTTTCTATTTTGGGTCTCTGCAAACACCTGGGAAAGTTAAACGTGATGAAGTTTTAACCATTTAATTTTCCCCTGTTTCTGATAATGGATCACCTCCTGCCTCAAACAAACAAACAAACAAAAAAAGAACACAAAAGCAGAGATGAGCTGGTTCTATTTTTTTCACAGTAAAACATGTCTGGAGGCAGGGGCCTCATTTTATCTACTGCTGCATTTTTTTAAAGGCTACTCTAGTGTCAAATTTCTTGCTGTGTTTACATGACCAAAATAAGATGTCAAAATTTTAGATGCCTTAGCTTCATGTTCCTGAACACTCTTTACGTGTTGTCAGCAATTTCCCTGAGAGAAACTTGGTAGCAGGAATCTTGGATGCAATATTGATCTGACTTTGATCCCAGTTTAATCACCAATGGGACTTGCTTGAACCACCCATAGACACAGGCTGTAGCACTCTGGAGCTGGGTTCCCTTCACAAAGTCACTGATATAAAAGAAGCAGATTTTTTAAAAAGTCACAAATACTTAAAAACCCCTAAATTCTACTTTTTAAAAACAGCTTAAACTTGTTTAAAGTACTATTTTTCAGTAGAGAAAGAGTTATTTATTGGAAACTTGGATGTGAGAATTTTAATGAAAATGTCTACCTTCTTATTTAAAACACTTTGAATACGTACATAGATAACAGATACACAGGAAGAACTGAGTACAAATCCAGTCTGGCTTTGCGACTTGGGTCACTTAACATCTGTCTCAGTTTCCTTAACTATAAAATGGGGATAATAATAGCAATTACCTCCCAGGGTTGTTGAGAGGATCAAATTATACGTATATATATTTTTATATATATATATATATACACACACACACACACATACATACATACATACACACACACACATATATGTGTAAAGCATTTAGCATAGTATCTAGCACATAGCAGGTGACTAACGAATACTTATTCCTTTATTCCTCTCATTCTTGCCTTTTATAGCTGTATACTAGCTGTGTAAAGCTGGAAAAAATCACTCAATCTCTGTCTTCTGAGAGTCAATAATATTAGATTATAAGTTATAGGCAAGTTGGTGTTCTGTAGTTGTGGAGACAATTTCTGACGCTGATGAAATAACAGACGTATACAAAAAGACAGATACATACATGTATGCCTTGATAATACAGATACCTTTATCATGCTCATGTATGATAATACAGATACCTTTATATATACTCATACAGCTTGAAAGGAAGTTTTCTTAATATTCTTTTTTTTTTTTGTAATTTTTTTTTTCCTTTTTAGGCAATTGGGGTTAAGCAACTTGCCCAGGGTCACACAGCTGGTAAGTGTCAAGTGTTTGGTCTGAGGTCAGATTTGAACTCAGATCCTCCTGACTTCAGGGCTGGTGTTCTATCCACTGCACCACCTAGCTGCCCTCCTAATGTTCTTTAAATGGAAAAAGGCAAAATTTTCTGTTAAATTCTGTTAAATTCATAAAAGCAACTTTGGTCTTCCTTCTGGGTTGACATGTTCCCCTTTTCAATCTCCCTCTAAGCCTACCTTGCTCTCTTTGTTGATCTTTTTGTTCCATGGACACAAGGGCAGAAAAATGGGCTTGATCATAGGCTAGGACCAGAGGGGAGCAGTGACATCTGTTAGGTGGAACTTCCAGAGGCAAGTAGATTCCTCCAAATGGAATCGGAGCAAATGCTGTGAAGACAAATATAATTTAGGAAATTCAATTCCACTTAATAAACCTCTATTAAGCATCTGCTAGACAGCCAGCTGATGTATGCAGAAGGCTGGCTTACAAGGTTCAAATCCTCCCTTGATGCATGCTGGCAAACATGACCATGAATGCTCAGTGCCCTCAGATAACTCCTTTAAGTGGTAAGAAATAGATGAACTCTTGCTCTCCATTCAGTTTAGGGAGCTTCCACATCAAGCATTCCCCTGACAAGATGAAATCACAGGTCAGACCTCCTCCCGCCACCTCCAGCCATATATACCAAGTATCTGGGTATTAGAGATATAAATATAAAAACCACATAATCTCTGACCTCAGGGGGTCTACAGCCTAGTAGGAACATGAAAGTAGAAGGATTTGGTGAGGAGGGGTGCCAGGGAGTTAACTTTTCCAATGTTTTTTTTTTACACTTGCCCTGAAATCAAAGTATAGTATAAGGTAAATTGGAACAAGTGCTTTGGGGGTCCCTCACATGGAGGGGTGTGAAGTGACTCAGAGAAAGTTGCCAACTCTGGGGAGGAGGGACAAATAGAAAAGGAGGTGGCTTTGACAACTGATGCTAAAAAATTCCAGAGTTCATGTAAATCACATTGGTCCATAAACACCCTCCTCTCTTTTCCCATCATCTTTCACACATACTTCAGGGCACATGTTGCATCTCTGTGACATCCTGGTCTGACCTAAAAGAGTGGAAGGAGAGAGTATATATGTACTTCAGAACTAGTCCCTGTCCCTTAGACTCTTCTAAGAATGGGTTCACCATGATCAAAATTGCATGAGATGATCAAAAGGGCAAAAAGGCACATTGCTACTTTCAACAATAAAATCCAGTGATGTTTTGTAGAAAAACATATTTCTGGAACACACAAAAACCAATCTTCCAATCTTCTTGTCAATATTTTCCCTCTTTTTTATTAAAGGTGTTTTCTCCAGCTTACTTATTGTTTCCATTTCATCTTCATTTAAAATTACAAATCTACTTGAGTACCTCTCCTATTGATTCTGAAGCAATCAACTAAGGTGTTTCAACTTCTAAGTTATTAAATCAAGGCTGGATGTTTATCCACTAGGCCATGTTAGATCTCTGGACCAAGAATAAAATTTCAGGGACTTTGAGGTCTAATCCTTTTTTTACCACTCAAACTTGCCCACAAGGACAATCCTATCTTTCCTTTTGATGCCTCAGGCAGCTCACTCATCTCATAGTTACAGGTGGGATTCTTAATGTGTGTGTGTGTGTGTGTGTGTGTGTGTGTGTGTGTGTGTGTGTGTGTGTATGTGATGGATCCCTTTAGTAGGCTGCTGAAGCCAGAATTAAGCATAAAACAAAACACAAAAGATTTTAAAGGAATACATTTACATTAAAATCAAGATGTAATTTTTCATAGACCTCCTAAAATCTGTCCATGGTTTGGGGGGTTTATGGACCATAGGTTAAGAACCCCTGAGTTAGAGTGAGATGCAGGGGACAAGTAAATCTACTATGCCTATGATTTTTTTGAAACATAATCTACCAAAGAGATTGTCAATCACTTCAGATAATGCAGATAATCCTGTGGAATAAATGCTCCTATGTCTGAAATGCTTTAGGGAAAGCCTAGTTTGGTTTTAAAGAGAAGCTCTCTAGGTTTCTTCCTAACCCTTTTATTCTATTCTTTCACAGAATAAATTTCTATTCCAGTCAAGCTTTCTTAATAAATATCTAGTATCGATAAAAAGGGGTAGGGTGGAGGTCAGAGCAAAACCCAGCCTTCCCCCTTTCCAATCCTGCTGAGCAAAAAGCACCCCAAAATATAAAGTTAGAGTCATCTTTGAGTCCAAAGGATAGTATATAACAATCTTATAAAAAGTTTTCATATAAATCTTTAATTTTCCTCACCTTTCTTAAAAATGACTGGAAGAAGAAAACCTAGAGGAAATGTTTCATAGATGTTACCCACCCAGGCAGACTTACCTTCTCCACCTGAGTCTCTTAACATTGTATCTGCTACAACAACAATTGGTCTTCTTAGTATATGGGCTAAGACAAAAACATGGAACTCTTCTAAGCTTTCATATACGGGATCTTCAGAATTGTCCACTCTGGAAAAGATAACAAAATGAGCTCAGCTAATTACTCAGAACTTGTTTTTACAGTTAAGAGATGGCAGACAAGATAAAATGTCATGTTTGTGGCCAAAGATGGCAAGACTGTAGGACTTTAGCTCAAATCCCTGCTGATAAAAATTATCTGATTGATGCCTATTCCCCAAGCTATGAGTTAGGGTTTGTCCAAACCAGAACTGAAATTGTATCACTCCGATGTTTCAGTGGTCTCAGGTAAAGGGTTCAAAAGACCTTATTAAAGTGCATAGTCTCTTCTTCCCACCTTCAAGATCATAAGATCACATAGGAAAAGAGACTTGGAGCTAGAAGAGACCTCAGAGGACATCTAGTCCAAAACCCTCATTAAATAAATGAGGTAAGTCAGATCCTAAGAGGTGACTTTTCCAAGGTCACACAGTTAGTATATGACAGGACCAGCATTTGAATCCTTATCCTCTGACTCCAAACCCAGTGTGCCTTGCCTCTCCCAGAAAGGGAAAGGGAAAAGTACATATAGAAATGGGTGATCATTTTCATGTCTGTGTTATCTGAGAGCCTGGAGAAGTCTCAGACTACAATGTGAAATTGAGTCAGTAAATACATAAAAAGGTACAAATACTGGAAGTCAGAGAGGTTATGTCCCATCTGTAATTGGCTCTAAGGTGTCAGGAAAGACTTCACAGAGATATCCTTGCACCTAGATTTTAAAGGATGGGTGAGATTTCAGCAAAAGTAGGTGGAGAAGAAGAGAGGATCCCAAGATTTGGTTTTAGACAAGTCTGAAAGTCAACTTTGGAGACTGATGACTTATTAACAAGAGAGATTTGGCTGCTCAGAAGAGCAAAAGTGTTAAGGGAAATGTCAAATGACAGGAGAGCAATTGAATTGTCTGCCAGTAATGTTTTTATTTAGCTAGGTTATGCTGACCTCTATATTTTTGGCCATATATGAATGAGCCAAAGAATAACACAGACACCATAAGAGTTGCACACAGATTACGTAACATTGGTCCTACTCTTGCATAATAATGACTTTATATAAAATTTGCTATAGAAACCCTGAAGGGAGAGTTATGAAGATTAAGTGAATTTTTTTTAATATTGTTTTTTTTTCTCTTCCATAGGATGATCTTTCAAATACTTATTTTTTCATGGTAATATTTTTTTATTTATTTTGTTTTCAACATTTACTTCCACAAGATTTTGAGTTCCAAATTTTCACCCCATCTCGCCCCTCCCCCACCCCAAGATGGCATGCATTCTGAATATCCCTTCCCCTAGTCTGCCTTCCCTTCTATCTCTCCCCACCTTCTCTTATCCCCTTCCCCTTCAATTTTCCTGTAGGGCAGGATGGATTTCTGTACCCCATATCCTGTATTTCTTATTTCCCAGTTGCATGTGAAAGCATTTTTTTAAACATGTGTTTTTAAAACTTTGGGTTCCAAATTTTCTCCCTTCCCACCCTTATTGATAAGGCAAGCAAATAAATATAGGATATATATGTACAGTTATGCAAAGCACTTCCATAGTAGACATGCTGTGAAAAACTAACTCTATTTCCCTTAATTCTGTCCCACCCCACCCCCCATTTATTCTATTCTTTCTTTTGACCCTGACCCTCCTCAGAAGTACTTGCTTCTGATTACCCCCTTTCCCCATCTGCCCTCCTCTCTATCATCCCCTTACTCCCTTGTCCCCTCCCCCCCATTTTCCTGTAGGGTAAGACAGATTTCCATACCCAATTGAGTGTGTACGTTACTCCCTCGTTAAGTCAAATTCTATGAGAATAAGATTCACTCATTCCCTCTCACCTTCCCCCATTTCCCCTGCACTATAAGAGCCTTTTCTTTTCTGTTTTTTTGTGAGATAATTTACCCTGTTCTACCTCTCCCTTTCTCCTTCTCCTAGTATATTCTTCTCTCACCCCTTAATTTTATTCTCCAGATATGACCCCTTCATCTTCAGCTCACCCTGTGCCCTCTATCTATCTATCTATCTATCTATCTATCTATCTATCTATCTATCT